GGTACGATTATTTTAATTTCTAACATTTCTAATGTTTTTTCAATAATGGGTGTAATGAATTAATTTGAGATACGAATTTTGAATTCAATTAACATTGTTTTTGATAACGTAAAGAATAACATTATAACATGAAGTACAAATACTTCGTCAGCGCAAACCTGAAGTCAAACCTTTGCTTTTGCTCATTGGATTCATATTTTCTTTGGCGCCATTTATGGAAATCATAGATCCTCATAAATGGAAGTGCGCGACCCCTTTACGGAGATCGTCAATGAAGCGAATCGAGCATTAATAGTAAATAATTTGGGTCCTATTAGACCACTTATCGAATTTCCCGTATCAACATCTGGGAAAAGAACCTTCAAGTTCCAATCTCGTTGGTATGACCTCCATTCATGGCTAGAATATTCTGTACTGAAAGATGCAGCATTCTGTTTTAACTGTAGGTGCTTCGGGACACTTGGTAAGTTCACTAATATACAAACTCGTGATATTTACAACTTTCAAGCATTTAGGAATTTAATATGAAGTCTGCTATCACTGTTTTTTAAGAAAATTGCGTTTGAATGTATGATCCTAGGTAGCCCCTAATTAGTAGCAATGTTACGATTGCGATGCATATACAGTATGTAATATCGCAACAGCGACTGAGTAAGTTGGACTACTAGGGTAGGATGTGTCAATATGTTATCTACCGTATTATTCCGTACGTATTTATATAACTGGCGAAGGTAAATAAATAAATAAATAAAGTTTCAATTTATTAAATTTAATAAATTGGGATTAATAACGAGCACCATCCTTTTGCGCCTACTAGACAAAAGGCTTAATAAAACCAAGAAGCGGTTTTGACAGTAAATTAACACTATTTCTACCTTCCGGCAATATTCTAATAGGACTTTTTAAAACATATATGCAGCGGTTTTGACACTATCTGTACCTCCCAGCAATCCGCTATTTTGGGCATATCATACCTCAAGTTACTATATGCAATAACTTGCAATAGTCACATTTCAAACTCAGTTCATTTTAGTCTGACTGTCAGAAAACCGCTCTTTTCGCCACTCATATTTCGCCACACAAAACGATTTGCGTAATTTATCGATGGAGTATAATTTAGACCTAAAACTTAACTTTAGTTGGAAGCTCAGAAGAAACATTCACAAAGACAGGCTTTCGTACATGGAAAAAAGCTTCTGGCGAAAGTGGAAAACTGGCATAACTGAAGCTTCGAAGTTGTTGGCATAACTGAAGCTTCGAAAACTTGTTGGCATAACTGAAGCTTCGAAGACAAGAAAAGAACAAGAACGAGAAGAAAATCGACAGATTGTCCAGACGATTTTTGATGTAGTCCGACATTTGGCGAAGCAAAATACCGCGTTCCGCGGACACACGAGACAAATGATTCAGCCAATCGTGGAAACTTCCTGGAAGAACTTTTGTTTCTATCTAAGTATGACAAGCCATTGAAACGTTGGATGGAAACTCACCCAAAGAATTTGTCATATTTTTCTCCCAGTATTCAGAATGAAATGATTGGCATTCTCAGCAATATGATCATTGAAATAATAAGATCTGAAGTGATTTCTGCCAAATATTTCTCAATTGAATGTGACGAAGTAACATCCCACAAACGGGCATTTATGTCTGTTATTGTTCGGTATGTCTACGATTATTGTATTTGGGAAAGGTGTATCAAGCTACATCGTGTGACTAATTTAACAGGACAAAGCCTTGCAGCTGTTATCATTGCTATTCTTGCGAACATGAACTTTCCTATCCGCAATTTAGTTGGTAAAGGCTTTGATGAGGTAAGTAACATGTCAGGCAAGGACGAAGGTGTTCAACAACATCTCACCGCAGCTGGTTCTGATAAATCGATATATTTCCATTGTTTTGCCCACAAATTAAACTAAACCTTGTCTTAGAGAGGAGTGTTAACAACGTACCTTCTGTGAATGACGTATTTGATATTATTGGTTCCGTCTATCACTGTCTCGAAGGGTCTCCGAAGAGGCATGCATTGTATGAAGAGAAGCTACAACTTCATGGCATATCGAAGGGAAAGATAGCATTACACACGCTTTCAGACACAAGATGGACTGCTCGATCCGACAATTTGGAGGTTGTTTTCAACACCTTGCCTGCTATCATATCGATGCTTAAAGCAATGTCTAAAGAGGGCGAATCAGCTGCAGATGGATTGCTCGTACGTATGCGAAAGCTCAAGTTCATTGCTTCGTGTATCGTATTGAAGAAGTGTTTTGCTCTAAGTAGATCGGTCTCAGAATATCTTCAGCACGAAAACATGGACTTGGTTTCAGCGGTGTCAGGTGTGCAATCTCTGAAAGATTCTTTGTCCTTCTTTCGAAACGAGGAAAAGATGGATCAGTTTCTGCAGGAGGCACGGAAATAATGCACGGACCAAGGATTGGTTGTGGATGACTTCGATCAGGTGGATCAGCAACATCCAAACAGACCAAAGCGTCCGCGCACAATTCCTTCCTACTTCAACGATGGTACATTCTATTTAGACCAAGACGCCAGAGCAATCCAAGAAGAAGTCCCTGGTAATGACCGCCCAAGAGATCTCTTTAAGCGAGATTTTTTCTTCCCATTTTTGGACTGGATGCACAACGAGCTGGAGAGGAGGTTCTCTTCTAAAGCATGTGAAATATTGTCGCTGGCCAACGTTTTTTATCCCACATATTTTAAAGAAGAAAATTTGCACCAAGCCCAAAAGCTGGCCAAATTCTACGGAATCGATCCCGATGTTGTCGTAAATCAGTTCATTCTGTTTTCTAAGTCTCATGTGATTAAAGTCTGGAAAGAGAAGTACGAAGATTTTCTTAAGATGAAAAAGAAAGCTAACAACGATCCCTTGACGAAAGCACCCGAGACTTGGCTTTGTCTGCCAACTCTTTTAAAGGTTTTTGGAGAAAATTCAATGAGCAACCTGTATCCTGATCTGTTTGAGGTGGTAAAAATTGTCGCTACACTTCCTGCAACAGTTGCTTCCTGTGAACGAGCACATAGCAAAGTGAAGATAATAAACAACTACCTTCGAGCGTCGATGTCCGATGAACGTCTAGAAAATTTGGTTCATATCAGCATAGAAAGAGACATTGCAGATAAGATTGAATTGGATACTCTTGTTGACACATTTAAATTAGCTAGCAACAGAAAGTTGCCCTTGTAAAAACTGTTAGTTTGTAACAAAAATCGCCGATGTTTGGCTTTCAGATTATCATAAAACTTGCCTGAAAATGCGGGAAATAGCGTTTTAGGGGCTCTACAAACAAAATTTTTTTCGGAGGGGCATGCCCCCGAACCCCCCTAGCTGTCTCGCGCCTTTGGCACTCGACTCGTCCCCCCCCCCCAGTATGACCAACCTGGCGACGCCACTGCGTTCACTACTATTTGGAGTCTGTACATATGGCTCAAAAGAAGTCGCCATACCTGAATAATAGAATAAACAACAAATGGTATTGACAACCCTGTAGAATTTGGTAAAATATCACAATTGTTACCGCTTGTTGACTAGACTTGCTCTAAGCCCCTATTTCTCTGACGTACTTTACCTATGGTGCGCATAACATGACGTAGAGGGCGAACGAGGGCAAGAAATAATAATTGCGCGTTCAAACAAGGTAAAATTTTGGTCCAACATAATCCAGCATTATAAGATGGAACCTTGTATGTCCTCGTGTGAATATTGTGGCTACGTGTACACTATACCAGATAGCTTTCCGTAGCGGCGGGAAAAAGCGCCTATCTGATAAGAAATGTACAACTTTCACAAGCTGACCGAAACAACATCTCTCCGTTACAATAATTCGTTTGAAAATAGTGTTCCTAAAAGGTACGGATAGGTGTTTTTCACATCGCTACGGAAAATAATCCGGTACTACGTAGCCTATGTTGTGTAATGTTGGAAGATCTTAAACCCTTAGAATTAAGTAAGACGCAACTACTAAATCAATTTTGATGAATACAATCCTTAATGGCCACCTCACAGCCAATGTAAAAAATATTTTTTCATTAGATAATGAAATTTATAACGCCTCTGAGAAGACACGTACAATCTTAGAAATAGAGAAACCAATTTAGCACTTCCTAAGCCTAAAAAAGAATTCGGCGGAATCTGCAATCTCGTTCCCAGAGCATGCCCGTTCGCAGGTTAAGGCCCACCCTTAACCTGCGAACGGGCATGCTCAGGGAACGAGATTGCAAAAGGTGCAAAACTTTGGGATAATCTTCCCTATGAGGAAAACATTACTGTATTCTACGTATCAGGATTTTGGGCATCTCACTCGATATAACTAATGGACGACTTGCGCTTTAGACTAAATTTTAATCTAAGTAAGAACGAAATCTATCACCACAGCTAGAAAGAGCGTCTTGGAATTAGTAATATTACAAAGTTTGGTTGCGAAATGTTGTAAAATACGGAAAATATAGCCCTTCAAAGTTGGCAAATTTGTATACTTTTGTATTACGTGCGTGAATTGTTAACTAAATTAGTTACCAATTTCCGCACGTAATAGAAATGTATACAAATTTGCCAACTTCGCAGGGCTATATTTTCCGTATTTTACAACATTTCGCAACCAAACTTTGCAGTTTTTCTAATTTTGATAACTTCTTTCCGAAAATATCTTTTGTTATTCCCAGATTAAAAATTTTCTAAAGCGCAAGTCGTCCATTGTCGAAGGGATTTGTAGATGGAAATTTCGAGTGGAATTTTTGTACATTAGGTCTAAAAAATGTATATTTGTATTCTAAAAGCATGAGTTAAAACTGCTTGGCCAATATTCATCTTTGACAATTTTCGTCTTTGAATGAATTAATGCCCTGTTTTTGTGTAATTCTGTTGTGGCCACTATACCCTCGTAATATTTTTATTTTGTACCGTACTGTATGTATAGGGTTTGACTTTGTTTAACTGATTTCCATCCAACATTTTGCAAAATCGTCCAACATTGTTGAACGGGGCTTACAGGTAAACTGCGTGAAGCGTTTCATTTTGAGTTTCAAACTTCCTTGCAATTTTCCTCACTTCCTTGCAAATCTCTTGAGGGAATTTGCAAATGTTCCTAAAAGCCGACTAAATTTTCCTCAGTTTATGTTAGAAGTTTTTAACATCCTGTTACATGTTCCTAACTTCCTGGTCTGTTCTGCGCGTTGTGATTGGCTAACAAAAAATATCCACCAATGAGAATGCTCAGAGTAGAACAGGAAGTCAGCAAATTCCCTCAGGGGAATTCCAAGGGAGTTTTAAGTGTGGAAAGTAATCCCCGAGCCGACGGCGCGAAGCGCCGTGCGAGGGCACTAATTCCCCCGGCTATTTACACCCGGGGAAACGAAAGCATTAGCGAAGTCTAAAGTTCATCAATGATCGTGGGCGCGCTCACCAACGGTGTTGCGTGGGTGGTCATCACTGATCTCAAAATATGGCTGTTTGCCAGGAGTGAAGAAAGCAAAAAATAAAAAAATACATGTAAGAAAGCTTGGAAAATCGTTTCACATAACAAATTGTAAAACTTTTTTGCAATTTTTAAACGTAAACATTGATAAGAATTGATATTGTATGATAAATCCTAAAGTATAGGGCAAGTTTGTTTCAATTGTTTATGTATGACTTTGTATTTAATAATATAGAATTTGTTCTTGATGTTCAAGTCTTTCCTATGCATTGTTTGCGAACGTTTCTTAGTTTAATTTTTGTAGAAGTTCATGATAAAAAGGAAAGCAAATTATTTTCATTAGCGTCCTGTACGAATTAAATTTGTTTCATTTCAAAGTGCGAGTAATAAGTTGAAGCTCGAGTTGAGAAGTTTATAAATATCGGCAAAAAGCAGTTATAATTTCAATTCACATTTAAAAACTTTTACGTAGAGTTTCGTTTTGAATTTTACATTAAAATAAAGCCCATGCTAGAAACGAAAATATTATACCTACTTTATATATTTTAGAAATTGATAGTTCTGTATTTAAAAGTGTTCAAATTTCATCTATTTTTTCCCGGTTTGTACAAAAAACTAAAAAACAATTATCGTGTTGCCATGACTAACATGACTAACAACGCGAGCCTGCATTCAGTGTTGGCGTAGTTACGAATACTTCATGTTGAAACAATGTTTGGAAAATAGAGGCGAGGGGTTGTTGCATGCATGTATTTCTAGTAAGTAATATTTCAATCAAGTTAGGAACTCAAAAGAGGAACGCTTGACGTATAGTTTACCTGTAACTACAATGATACTGCATACATACATAGATACATACATACATACATACATACATACATACATACATACATACATGCATGCATGCATGCATGCATGCATGCATGCATGCATGCATGCATGCATGCATGCATGCATGCATGCATGCATACATACATACATACATACATACATACATGTACATACATACATCGCCTTTATTTAAAACACGGTAAACCTTAGTAATATTACATAATAAATATAGTCAAAATTATTCTAAGCTTAAAAATATTTGGATTGACATAGTATATATAAAAATATAACAAATATGGGGCTACTGTTCTACCAGCTTGCCGTGTGGGAGTCGGACAAGAGTTAAGTAGCATTATTAGTTTTTAAAGATCTTTTAAAAGATGAAAGTGATAAAGATGATCTCAGAGATTTAGGCAAGCTATTCCATAATGAAGCTCCACTATAACTAAAGGAGCGCTTAAGATAATCCGTTCTAGGTTTAGGGAGAAACAGTTTGCCTTCAGAATCTCTGAGACTATAGTTACTAACTCCAGTTACAAACAAATCTTGTAGATACATAGGTGTTAAATTGTTCGTGACTTTATACATGAGAATTGCTTTTTGCTTTTACGTATATAAATTATTCCATCTAAGTTCTTCAAGTACAGAGCTAGATGAAGCATCATAGGAAGAACGTGTTATAACACGTGCGGCTCTATTTTGAAGTTTTTGCAATTTATCACTCAATTTACTACCAATGCCGTCCCAAACAGGAGCGCAGTAGGAAAAATATGGCTCATTTAGTCCCTGATACACTCTAGCTGCTGTATCTTGACTAATATAGCTGCTTATTCGCTTTAAAGCGCTAATTGCGGCCGAGACTTTTTTTGAGATTTCATCAATATGCCTTTTCCAGGTCAAGTTTTCATCAATTTTAAGTCCTAAAGATTTAGAGCTATTGACTCTTTCAATTTGATCATTGCCTACAAAAACATTAATTTCATGGTCATCAAATGTTGCAAGTCTTTGACGAGAACCGATAACCATGAACTCAGTTTTAGCAACATTTAAACTTAACTTGTTAACATTAAGCCATTCTTTAAAGCCTGGTTCACACGATGAATATAGCATAAGCACAAGCAGCGGAACCTTTGATGTAAGCATAAGAAGAACAAATGTTGCGTTCTTTACGCTTACGTTTATGCTTACATCAAAGGTTCCGCTGCTTGTGCTTATGCTATTTTCATCGTGTAAACCAGGCTTAAGTTTTCCAAGTTCGATATTCATAAGATCTTCAAGCTCATCAAGTTTATTACTTTGAAAACTTATGTTGGTATCATCGGCATACATTCTAGGTAACCCCTCATCCAGGCAGGTCATTGATATAGACTAAGAACAAAAGAGGACCAATAATAGAGCACTGGGGAACCCCGTAAGTTATGGGACAACTGTCGTGTTTAGATCTGTGGGTTCGAATGGTAACAAGTGTTCAATACTATGCACAGTATACTTTATTGACATCCAACTGTTTAACTGAAATCTTCTTTATTGACATCGAACTGTTTAATTTAACTCCAACTGTTTAACTTAAATTAAAACAAAATTATATTTTACTAGAGTGTCCATTAAAACGCATCGCTTTCGTACTTAAGTCTTAAGGCAGTTCCTTTTGAATTCTCGTCTTTTTTCAGCCTCACTGCTTGACCAGATGGTTCAACAGAATTTGTGCTTAAATTCACGTGCTTTATATGACTGCCTGTCACCACAGGAGCATTGGATTTCGCTGAAGATTCAGTATTGTGTTTATCTTTCTGATTTTCATCTTTTAACCCACTTTCACTATTAATCTTCAATTTCGCTGCTTGAATAGGAATTTGACTCCTTTATATTCTTGCTTGGCACCACACTAGTGCTTGATGTAACAGATGATTCAGAACTTACGTTTTTCTCTTTGAGGTTCCTCTTTTCTCGATTTCCGGATTTCCTCCACGTTCACCACCGGTTCCCCTTTCTTCATTCTCACCCTCAATCTTAGTCTTTCTGGAGCTCAGGCCTGTTTTAGGAGGCTTGACACTTCGTATAAACTTGTTGTCTTTCTTACATGACACAGTGGTCGTGGTGGTTCCTTGGTAGGATGACATGGTCAGTGAATCTCGGTTGAAATCTAAGTAGACTTTCCCCAGTGTGCCATCAAAGCGGTTTTTAGTAACCTAACAGACAAATAGAAATATGAGGTTCAGTAATTTAACCAGTACAAGCGCTCATGAAAAGTTACTAAAGCAGGTAACTTAGCACTACAGAATTTTAGGATTTTAACACCATTATAGTAAATATTATAGAACTGATTTGGTAAATTTTGCATAGATAGCATTTTCACACTGGTTCCCCTGTTCTTCCCATACCTGCAGATATTTTCCTGCGTTTTTTCCTTTCTTATCTTGCAAAATGATAACATTATCTGCTTCTTGACTTGCTTTTGCTGAACCAAAGATAGACGCTGTTTGTAGCTCGGCATCGTCATTCTCCTGTGATACAAAGCATATTTATATAGTTACTAGGCAGTCAGTGGAAATTCTGCGGCAAAACAAAAAGTGAAAGTGTGTCGACTGAGGAAGCAAGACTAAGATGATTTGGTAATTTAGAAGACTAGAGGCACAGCTTAATCAGAATGGAAGACAGAAAACGATAGCACGGTAGACCGTGACAACGACGGGTGGATTCTGTTAAAGAAGATTAGTATAGGTAATAGGATGGTTTCGAGTGAAATTTGGATAAAACATGCACGAGTGAGTTTTTCAAAGAGCAACAAGCTATTTGAGGTTTTTGAAAAACTCACGAGTGCTTGTTTTATCCAAATTACACGAGAAACCATGCTATTACGTATTAATAATATATATCAAAACGTTCGAGACAATTGTACGTTTATAGCGAACCGTCCACTGGCAAAGTTTTCCTGGCTTTGTTATATCACATTATACAACACTGACAGCTTGAAAATTCCACTCAACTATGTACGTTTTGCTAGTCTTGTTTTAGGTAAAGGCTTTTTTCGTTTAGAAAAAGATAAAAGCCATATTTTCCAGGCTTTGTGATTATAGAAAACTGCACTGTGATTACAAAAAATTGCACCGTGATTACAGAAAATTGGACTGTGATTACAAAAAATTGCACTGCTGTTTGGGATTAACTGCACCGAAAGCAACCAATCACAGTCGAGTAATATTTTTATGTATATTATTATATTAGATATAGCATAACATCGATGAGGAATTGCTTTATAGTCACGGCAATGAAACTTTACAAAAATGAGGCCTAAACTTCATTGAA